TTGTATGTCTTATTTCAACCTACTCAAGTCTAACCCATTTGGACCCCTTAGAGGCTCTAACCATGGAGCACGTAGATCCCAAAAACGCATAGTTTCTCCTCCAAAAATGACTTCTCCGATTGGGGAATGCATTAGATATTTACCTAAACCAGTAGGTCCTTGAGAGGATCCCATATTAGCCCCAAGACGTTGGTCTCTAACTAGAAAAGTAAATGCTTGAGCTTGAGAAGCTTCTGGTCCAGTAGGCCCGTAAAATTCACTAGAATAAGCAGTATTATTGAACTAGACAAAACAACAAGCAATGAAACCAAAGATGGCTAAAGCCCCTAAATATAAGATAAGTAAGCCTCTCCAGACCATACAAGTGCACGTCGAGCCCATGCGAAGGGTTTGGTTAAGATATGCCAGATTCCACCAAGTATACAAATGGAACCTAACCATACATGTCCTCCGATTATATCTTCTAAATCGTCCACACTAACAATCCAGCCTTCTCCTCCAAAAGGGTATTTTAGTGAATAACCAAATATGATACTCGGGCAAGGGTCAAGTTGGTAATTTTTCTTACAGCGCCCCCTTCCGAAGCCCAGGTATCATATACACCCCCAAAATAAAGAGCCTTGAATACTAGAAGAAAAGCACTTATACCTAACAAGATTAAGTGAATACCTAAAACTGTTGTCATTTTATTTCGATCTTTCCAGACATAACCAAAGAAGGGAAAAGATTCTTCAAGTGTCTCAGGTCCCAGAAGTGCATGATAAATGCCACCAAAGCCCAATACTCCAGAAGAAATTAAATGAAGTACTCCAGATACAAAGTATGGAAAGGTGTCTATAACTTCTCCCCCAAGACCTACCCCCCAACCTAGAGTAGCTAGGTGGGGAAGTAAACTCAATCTTTTTCATACATAGGCTTCTCGGGTACGAAATGGGCCACTTCAAATAGGTTCATTGCTCTACCCCAAAATACGATTAATCCAGCATGGGATACATAGCCCCTATAGTTTACCGGATAGTTTGATAAGTCGGGCATTCCCTGCCCACTAAGCGAAACCTGTGGTTTCTTGGTCACGACCAGCTAAGGCTAAAGTTCCATTAAAGAGTGTTTCCACGTGGTAGAACCTCCTCAGGGAATTTAAGGTTTTCATGAGGCTGATCTTGAGCCGCCATCTAAGTGTGAATACCTTCGTTTAAGAGAATATTTTTGGTGTAGAAAGTCTCAAATTAAGGATCTTCCGCTGCGCGAATTTCCTAAAAATTGAAGTCATAGGCACGTAGGTTCAGAGCTAGACCGACTACTCCAAGAGCACTCATCCATAAATCGGTTACTGGTACAAATAACATAAAGAAATGTCACCAATGTTTATTGGAAAAAGCAACCCCAAAGATTTGGGACCAAAAGTGGTTAGTGGTGACCATTGAATAAGTTTCTTCAGCTTGAATTGGATTAAAAGCACGGAATGTATTTGCACCATTACCGTCTTCAAATAAAGTATTTTATACGGTAACACCATGAATGACACATAGCAAAGCAGCACCCAATACACCGGCAACTCCCATCATATGAAAGGGGTTCAAGGTCTAATTATGAAACCCTTGAAAAAATAGGATGAATCGAAATATAGTGCTACACCAAAACTAGGTGCAAAGAACCAACCAGACTGGCCTAGTGGATAAATCAGAAATACAAAACAAAAACAGTAGTTGGACCAGAGTATGTGATTGCATTATAAGTTCTCAATTGAACAGATCGAGCAAGCTCGAATTGACGTAACATGAAACCTATTAGGCCAAAAGCTCCATGGTGATCAACAAAAGTCCACAGACCCCCCAATTGACACCAACGAGTAAAATCTCCTTGTGCTTCAGGACCCCATAGTAACAACAACGAATGTGCTAAACTATTAGCAAGAGTAGAAACCGTGGCAGTTAAGAAATTGCAGCCTTCCAAATAAGAACTGGACAATCCATGGGTATGCCATGAAGTTACAAAGTTTGTACCTGTGAACCAACCCCCTACAGCGAAATAGGCACAAGGAAAGAGCAATAGACCAGACCAGCCTACAAAAATGAAACGGTCCCTCCGTAATCAGTCATCCATAATATCAAATAAATCATTTTTCGTCTTTGGTAAACTTACCAATGGCTATAGTCATAGTGATCCTCCTATTCAACTACTTCGACCATTTCCGAGCACCTCATATCTTTTTCGGGGCGTCCCAAGATCCGATCATTTTTGTCTAATTTCTCTTGCACTACCCTTCACCAATGGGTTTCGAAGATAAAAATCCCTTATTGATTAGCCCATAAACTGACCTAGGTAAATCCATGAACTCCATTGGATTATTCCTTCTGACTAAGCATATGAACCATGAATTGTCTTAATAAGATAATTCAATCAATCCCTTGTTTTGAAAGAACTCTTCAAGGACCAAACGGTCCTTTTCCTTCATACTTCATATAAATAAATCAAAATCCCCAGAGTATATCTTTCCACGGATCGAAGGAAAAAAGACAGTTCGATTGAATATTGATTTTTAGATTCTTTTATTTGTTAGAAAAAGAGATAATCTACTACTTATCGTTTTAGAAAATCTAAAATTCAATAAATAATAAATAGGAGACTGGAAACAAAAGTCTCTTTCTCGAATCTATTCTTCATCACACTGGTGGAACAAAACAAAAATATAGGATGCAACGATATTGAAATATTTGGTACATGAAGCCATGATTTGATAGATATACATCGAAATCAATCTACAATCTACTTAATATAATTAATATATAATATAGATGAAATTAATCTTTGATCTAGAATCAAAGAAAAATAATAAATGGCTCTTATGGTGTGCCTTGGAAGAAAGGTTTCTCTGTAGAGGAAAGGAATAACAAATTATTCTGATAATTTTTCCTATAGAAAATCTAGTAACAAGAAGATTTAATCGGAAATATCGACAAATTCTTGTGGAGTCCAAAACAAAAAAATGAAATAAAAAAAAAATCAGCTACTCCAATTTCATTTCTATCGAATGTTAATATCAGAATAGCGGATATAGTCATGATTCAATAGGTCATGTCCACTTACTTTTTCTTTTGTTGATTTCTAACCTTTCGAATCGATTTGGTTGGTATAATGGAAAATAGGAATATTCGGTGATTCAAGAAGTGACTTTTCATTATTCCTAAATTCATACTAATGAAAATTGACTAAACGAATGTTCAACTTTATAACTAAGTATAATGATAATGTATTATCCAGTTAGTAACTTTTTTTATTACAAATAAAAAGAAAATTTTCCCATCAAATATGAATACTAGATTGGGGTTTTACAAAGCCCCTTATCGGATTTGAACCGATGACTTATGCCTTACCATGGCGTTACTCTACCATTGAGTTAAAAGTGCCTTTTTTATTTAATTCCGGAATTATTCACTATGTGGATAAAATATCTATATGTACATATAATATAAACATAAGTATATATGCATTAAGTACGTGCAGTAGATACATAGTGTCTAGTGGCTCATTGTTGAATAATAAAATGGATTTACCTTGGAAGTCTAGGAGAAAATGCAATGAATTGTTTCAGGACCAACTCGAATAGAAATAAATTCAATTGAAATAATTCAAAAAAAATAAATACTACTACTAGATTTCTAATGTCGATTCAAGAATAAGGAAGATCCTTTTCAAGTTTGAATTTGTTTCTTATTGGATCCATTGATATGCGTTTTTTCTTTCATCTGCTTAAACGATTGTCGTGAGTAAACCTATAGGAATAATTGGATTTCATTTAGTTACAAGCAAGAAATAATAATGAAGAAATGCAAATTATACAAAAAAAAATTGCATAGTTCATTTTTATAGGGTTATACGGACTCAAATCGTAGACCTTCTCGGTAAAACAGATCAAACTTATTATTATTAAAATGATCTGAACTGTTTCAAAGACCCAACATGCATTTTTTTTTTTTTGCATTGGGCTCCTTCATTAACTGATCTAAATATCAGTTAGTCTGCCATTTTATTTCTTGACAGAAAAAAAATAATAAGGAAATGGCTCCATGTGCTCTGATTCATTATTTTGGAGCATTACCAAAGTGTTTCAAAGGTGGGATTATCTTGACGTAGGTCTGTCTCTGGCCTAGATCAACCTAAGTTAAATGAAGTCTCTATCATTCTGATTAAAAATCAAATATGAAACTTCATACACCTTAAAGTTCATATGACGAAAAGAGATTTTTTTGAGGTCCTTATACTCATTATGCCTAGCATTGAATAGACTGGGTATTCACCTTATCAAGATCTCAAATCAATGATGGGGTCTGTTTGGCACCTCCTAAATGGGCGTCCAAATTGGACCGAACCCTTTGTCAGGCTATGGTTCCCTCAAAGTTATAGAGTAAGACATCGATTTCTCAACAAGATCAATTTTTCTGATTGTATGATGAACTCCCTTGACAAACATTGGCGCGCGTGTAAACGAGTTGCTCTACCAACTGAGTTATAGCCCTTAGTGCCTGTGATACATATTTTATCATGTAGGTAAATTCTTGGCAAGAGAAATATTCCATGATCCAACATCAAGAATCTTTGATCTCTTTGAGTGGTATTCCTTAGATTAGTATTGCTTATAAGTAATATGATATTTATAATCCACCAACAGGATGGGTTTCATTTGGTTCTCTTTGGGATGATAAATGACCTACTTAACTCAGTGGTTAGAGTACTGCTTTCATACGGCGGGAGTCATTGGTTCAAATCCAATAGTAGGTAAAACTTATTAGATACCAAAGTCAATGGTATCTAATAAGGTTTACAACCCACCTTTAGTGATATTTATTTTTTGATTTTGTATCTTTTCTATTTCATTTTTTAATTTGAATTTTTGCTTCAGAATTGGATTATGTTTGATTGTATTTGATTGTTTTCACCCGACAGAATCTAAATAGGATTAGAAAGAGAACTTCCTTTTATTATTCGAACATACCAACTAGTTATGAAATCATATTGCTAGCCTCCACCCGTGTTCTAGCTAGTCGGAGAGCTAGATTTGCCTCAATTTTTTGTCTCCTTCCTTCAGCCTTTTTCACATTAGCTTCCGCTATTTCAAGAGTTTGTTGAGCTTCTTGTGGATTAATGTCACTACCCTTCTCCGCATCATTTACTAAAGCAATGATCTCATTATTTCCTATTCTAGCAAAACCACCCATCAGAACCATCGGTAACCATTGGTCGTTAAGGCGTATTCTCAAAATCCCTATATCTACAGTTGTGGCAATAGGGGCGTGATTTAGTAATATGTCAATTTGACCACTATTAGTACATAAAACAATTTCTTCCACTTCTGAATCCCAAACAATTCGATTAGGGGTCAGTACACTACGATTTAAGGTCATTTCTTCAAATTGCTCTCCATTTCTAAGTTCATAGCCTTCGCGGTAGCTTCATCGATAGTACCTACCAAATAAAAGGCCTGTTCGGGAAGACCATATAATTCTCTGGAAAGGATCAATTGAAATCCTCAAATTGTTTCTGCTAGACCAACATATTTCCCTGGAGAACCGGTAAATACTTCTGCTACAAAAAAGGGTTGTGATAAGAAACGCTCAATTTTTCGCGCATTTGCTACGAGTAAATGATCATGTTCGGATAATTCGTCCAATCCAAGGATACCTATACTGTCCTGAAGTTCTTTGTAACGTTGTAAAGTTTGCTTAATTCTTTGGGCGGTTTCATAATGTTCCTCACCAACGATCCGAGGTTGAAGCATGGTTGACATTGAATCTAAAGGATCTACTGTTGGATAAATACCTTTGGCAGCCAATCCTCTTGATAGTACGGTAGTAGCATCTAAATGTGCAAATGTCGTTGCAAGAGCAGGGTCGGTCAAATCGTCTGTGGGTACATAAACTGCTTGAATAGAGGTTATGGACCCATCTTTGGTAGAAGTAATTCTTTCTTGTAAAGAACCCATTTCGGTACTTAGGGTCAGTTGATAACCCACAGCGGAAGGCATTCTACCCAATAAGGTTGATACTTCGGATACTACTTGCATGAAACGGAAGACATTGTCAATAATAGAAGTACGTCTTGCTCATTAACATCTCAGAAATATTCCGCCATAGTTAGGGCAGTCAAACCAACTCTCATACGAACTCCCGGTGGTTCATTCATCTAACCGTAAACTAGGGACACTTTTTATTCTACAATATTTTCTTTATTAATCACTCCAGATTCTTTCATTTCCATGTAAAGATCATTTCCTTCCCAAGTACGTTCACCCACTCCGCCAAATATAGATACGCCCCCATGAGCTTTAGCAATATTGTTAATGAATTCCATAAAGAGTAAGTACTATTTTACACACTCCAGCTCGCCCGAATAGTTCGATATTTCCATTCAAAATTTTTGACAATCTTGAATCAAAATTGAAAGGATCTTCGATGAACTTGAAGATTCACAAAAGAAATCGTTTCTCCGACAACAATTCCATCACTTTTGTATCCTTCATAACTCACCTCGCTTATCCAAAATTTGGACAAAAGTTTTTGAATCAAATCTGAAAGGTTTCTTCGCTAAATAGGCCATGTCTGATACACTAATTTAAGCAAAAATTGGTTACTTTTCCAACAAATTTCAGCGTATATACCTTGTAAACTAGTCCAAATCCACCCTCTCCAATCTTGTTGTTCATAGAAAAGTTATATGTGGCTTTTGTTATCGTCGACAATTGGAAAAGTGAAAGCTCAAATTCTTCTTTGAGTTCCAGTTTGTTCTTTTTCCATTTATACAACACCAGAATAAGGCCTAGCAGATCCATTGCCATCAATAGTGAGAAACTCACTGCGAGTGTCTTTGTCGTCTTTCTTTTGGAACCTGCCTCAGATTCTACAAGTAGATTTTTTCTATCAAACACAACAAACCAAGACAGGTGCATTACATGGTCACCATGCATCAGGAAAATTTCTTTAATATAAGTTCTTACCTAGTCTTAAAAGATTCATCATAGCTATTATTTTCGATCTTTTTCAATCTATTACAATTTGGGTGAGAATTGAAAGAAGAAAATTTGAATTGTTTGAAGCTAGACGAATTTGGAATAGAATTAACAGAAGAAAATTTAAATTTTGAATTGAAGTCGGATGGATTTGGAAGAGATTGAAATCAACTAGATTAGCGTGATTTGGGGAATTCACATCAATTTTATACTTTATTTCCTTTAAAAGTGTAACTGATTTTGTTTTAATGTATCAGATTTAATGTATCCGGCTTTTTCGCTATGTATCCGGATAGCACTTATTTTGAGGAATTTTCGTAAATTAAAAAAGCGTAGGGATAGAATGTAATTTAGATCGTTACACTATGGGATTTATGTAAGTTATACAAAAATAAACTCCTATGTTCCCTTAAGTAACATTAAAGAAATCAAAATTTATAACTTATTATTTCTTAGTCCCAAATCAAATAATAATATTTAAAAGCACTTGATAGATAATACTTATCTCATATAGTAACAGCTCTACAGATGCCTAAGGTTGTGTTGTATTAATTGGTCAACTTGGAAATCCATTACCAGTATACTCCTTTGCAGATATTGATCTGAGTTCTTAAGTGTAAATGATATGTTAACAAAATTAAACATGTTAGGGAATTATAATTATTATACGAAGAATATAAATGGATGAATTATTAGGTAAGGATTGATTACTTCTTTTTTTGCCTTTAATTCTTTTCATTTGATGAATTATTTATAAATAAATTGTATGTTTAATACTCAGTATTTTTAGATATCTTTAAAATTTAATAAACTGTTTTGAAACAATTCTTTCAGTTTAATGTATTGTGTATGCTTGAGTTAGTCTTCCGCTTGTTCTAGGTCTACAAGTAACAATTTATATGTAAGGATCAACAATCAAAGGTCTAATTATCCGGATTATAACAAACCCAATAACCCTAGACAAAACCTAATATCCTACTACCCAATTTAGGGCTTTTTCCACCATTAATTCTAGATCAAATTCCTCCTCCATCGATAATGACCCACTATATTACATTATACAGATCGAAAAACGGATTCGGGGAGTTAAAACTTTACCTTTAGTCTCAAAAATTGTGAAAAACGGTCAAGAAGTCACCTGGGGTCGTCTCCTTAGCTCTAAAAATCGAAAAGTGCCAAGTAAGTTCATTTAGGGGTTTATTAATGACTTTAAGTCGCATCTGGCTTGCCACTTCGAACCCTTCCCGCTATAGCGGCCCCACTCTGGCGGCTCCAATCCCGCTCTGGCAGCCTACACGGAGACAGAATGTTACCTATTGGGAGTTCTACTCGCCCAAATTCGATTCGGTAAAGTCGAACAGGTTTCTTAACGTCTTAGCTATCTACTCATGTGGTCTAAGTCATAATTAGATCTCTCATTAATTACCAAATTTCCCTACACCTTAATGACTCTGATTTCGTCCAAATCTGGACTAGGTTGGGAAATTCCAAGTTTCTACGAAAGAGTTTTCTGGCCCCAAATCTTTCTTCATTGACATTTCCCTATTCCCTAACGACGGAATCAGGTCGTTACAATAGATACCAATTTACCCATCACTCGTCCCCGAGCGATGAACTAGGAAAAGACTAGCTAAAATAAGGGTAGAGTAGTATTTGAATTGTTTAATTACTGGGGATACTTGTCTCGCATGCCCTTCTTATCGAATCTCATTACCCCCAAAGTTGATCACACACATGTTTGCAACATGTTATCAAGGACTTTGAAACAACATCAGGATGAATCCTTTCTCACGTAACCATGATAAAATTCTAAATCAATACTCGCTACAATTAGAAGTGAACCTGAACAAACCAACACACATTCATAATACCCAAACAATCACAGTTCTTAACAACATCTCCATCCTACAACATAAATTCCCATGATCTTAAGTTATAACAATTTTGATCTTTAGAAATCAGATACTCATCGAGGGATATGTCCAATCATACAACCCCTCCAACAACACTATTGAAATGCTAGATTTAGTAATTGTAGATTACCTCTTAAGAACAGTAGAATTGGACCCAATGATCCCCACATTCAACCACACATAATCAATACATGACCTCGACAACAAGATGAAATATTAGATTGTTGAACAACCATAAATATGTTGGGTAGCTCTTCTATAAATTCTCATAAGCAAAGTGGTACATGTAGAACCACTAAAATACTTTAACAACTCCAAGACAACATCAATTATGTCATTCGAAATAACCAAATCTTCCCAATCTTCCCACTCAACCAAGGAAACATCGCAAGATCGGTAACCTGATCCACCACTAGAGGTTCACCCACAAAATGAAAAACACGTGTGACCATAGCTAGTTCATCACACTCACAACTACGTACAAAACGAAATAGATGGTCACACAAGAATTTAACGAATAACACGAAAGGTTTTTCTTTGAAGAGTCGATACCAGCCATTTCCATTCACTTGACTCAACATACTCTTCACATTCTTCGACTAAAGCCAACACTCTTAATACTAACAACCATCATAACCACTCCGACCATTGACCTTACTTTAAACCAACATTTTTTAAATGAAAACCTTTCTAAGGTACTTAGACAATCAACAGTAATCAACTTTACGACTCAACCCAGGTGTAAGTCTTTTCAAATGCTCAATACCCAATACAATTGATCATTCCTAACCTTGAAATTCATACCTTGACAAAATATATCACCACGAATGTAAACTTTTAATGAAAAATTTGGATTGTATTCAACTGTATAACACAATCCCCTTATCTATTAACATTAGCTTATACCTCGAAGATTTTTATGAATTCGTGGATCTTCGCTTATCATGGATCGCATCTCCATCGATTTCACAACATCTTTCGTTAACAATTCAATTGTAATCATTGCCAAACTCAAAATAAAACAAAAGAACGTATCAGCACATTCGAGCTAATGTTCGTACACTCCTTTCTCAATTCTTTTTCAATAGTTTGTAACCAATCTGATGGACTTGTAACACTATTACCATTGCCACAACAAAAAAAATAAAATCACGCATCTCTGAACCCAATTATCTACCCCTCTGAAGATATCTCTTCAGCCTTTGCAATTAAATAAAATATTCTTGCTCTTGCCTCTCTCTAAAGGCTGTACTACCTCCCACTATTTTTCTTCATTATGACTCTAGTTCTTTAAGTTCTATTCGAATGGTGTCCCACCATCTCTTAAAACCTTCCATACAACCACGTTACTCACCAAATTTTAGAAAACCACAACCTTTAGATACTCGCAAGTCGTAATTACTATACAAAAATTTGCTTAACCAACAATTTTATTATATAGTTGCATCCCGTCACAGTCCATCACGAACTCTTATTACAATTATTCTCAGTCAGCCTTGACTATCACTATGAAGCCAATATTTCATCAACACGACACCTCAAACTCAGGTAAACTCATCAAATTCAAAGGACTAACCCAATCTTGGTACGCACTTTCTTACTAAAATCTTAAATTTCCTTCACCCAAGTATACTCAATGGAACTTTCTTTCTCCATAAGCTTGTCATCCGGTATTAATCCACTCCCTTATGGATTAAGATAAAATCATCAGTCCTCATACTACCCTCCTTCTTCTGATCAAACAAGACAGGAGCACCCCACTTGGAAACACTAGTACGGATGAATCCTTTATCAAGACACTCTTGGATTTGAGCCTTAAGCTCTCCCAACTCTGACACCCCAGGAATAGACTCAATAGAGGGGGATTCGACCTCAACATCCCGAATATGAGCCAATTATGTCAAACAATCCTCCCCCACCAGTTTCCTACCCCGCACGAAAGATATGACCTTAACTGACTTAGGCTTGTACCTCCTTCCCACTCCAGCATTTCCCTAATGAGGATCTCTAGAGTTATCGACTTAGTATTACGATTAATCCTGGTATAATAGGGGGACAACCAAG